TTAATATTATATTTAATACCTTATTTTGATGAGTTAATTTCTTGCCTTAAATAACAATCTAATATTTGACAATAAGTAATTTCTGAGAACATCAAATTTTGCTATTGCAATTTTAAAAATAGTATTAGATTAAATTTAGTATATAATCAAATGACTACAACATGATTAGAAATTCAGCTAAACAAAATTTTTAATCTCTTATATGCTTTAAAAAAATAAAAATTGTACTTACTAAGCCAAGACAGAAAATCATGTTCTTGAACACTATTCCAAGTATCATCTGCTTGATTAAATTGGCATAAGTTATAAACTATATATGTAACACTGTAATAATTCACAGAATTATATCCTTACCATCATTATTACATCATCATTATAACTAAGTTTATTATTATTAATTTTATTATTGTCATCTCCAGACTTGAGATAATAAACTATGAATATAGCAAGCTCTATTTTAGTATCATATTTTATGTTACTACAACATTATAAATGAATTTGCAGTTTTACCTTTATGACTTTCAATTGTAGATTTTTCATTTTCTATTATTGAAGCTAAAATTAATTTATAACTTTTAGCAATTGTAATAATCTCCAAAATTATAACAAAGAAAACTATATTATATTCACTTTCAGCATTTTTTTCAACATATAGGGCTGACCTTTCATTAGTTGTAGAAACTATTGCAGACTTTTTCATCATAATAATTTTTTAAGCTTTCTGAAATTTTGCTTAGATCTTGACTTCTGCATTTTATATTGGAACATACATTAATATCTTGATCTAATTATATAATATTATCTTCAAATTGTTGTATAATTTCTGATAGAGGGTTTCAATTTCAAAAATTCATTTTTTGATAGTTGTATATACTTCATCAGCAGTAGGCCACATATTTTAATTGACACTCCAACATTTTTGTATTAATTCTGCATAGACAATTAGTATTTTCTTTAAAATTTCTTGGTATAAACCTTCATATATGCCTAATAATTTACTTTACTCTAACTCTAACCTTAACCCAAATTCTACTTGAACCTAATTCTAATTTTATTTTGCAGGCTCAATTTTGCTATAGAGCACAAGGATACTGTTTAGATTTTTCCTATTAGAAAAATCAAATACAAATTAAATATTTTATAATTAAATTATTAATAAGAAGTAAAAATAGTTCTGAAAATCTAAACAAGTCTCAACTAAAAAAATGTTAAAAGAATAGCAAAATATAATTACAATTTCTAACAAAATAATATCTAAAATTCAATTTGAATCAATTAACTTGTATCAATTAAAAATTAAAAATAAAGAAAATTTCAAGGAATGAGTTATTACTATTTATAAAAATGAAGTTGAGTTAAAAAAAAGAAACTGACATACTATAGAGACTTTAGAATTAGTTAATAAAAAAACAAAAAATTAAATAGATTAT